TGGGTTAAGCCTCTGCCTTCAGCTCAGGTCATGATCTCAGGGTCCTGGGATGGACCCCCACTTGGGCTCTCTGCTAAGTGGGGAGTCTGCTTCTCCCTCTCTCTCTGCCTGCCTCTCTGCTTACTTGTGATCTCTGTCTGCCAAAAAATAAATAAAATCTTAAAAAAAAAATACCAACCACCATTTGAGCTTTCAGTGAGTCATAATCACTGACCACAGATCACCATAACAAATATAATAATAATGAAAAAGTTTGAAATATTGCAAGTGTTAGCAAAATGTGATACAGAGGCATAAAGTAAGCTAATGCTGTAGGAAACATTTTTTTTTTTTCTTTTTAGAGGCAGAGAGCAAGAACACTAGCAGGGGGCGGGTAGGGGCAGACAAAGAATCTCAAGCCTCAAGGAAGCTCCACATTCAATGCTCAGTGCAGAGCCCAACACGAGCCTTGATCCCACAAACCCAAGATCATGATCTGAGCAGAAATCAAGAGTTGGAAGATGAACCAACTAAAGCCACCCACGTGCCCTGGGAGCAAATGCTGTTAGAAAAACAGAGCCAATAGATCTGCTCAACACAGGGTTGCCACAAACCTTCAACCTCTAAAAAACAGTACCTACAGGGGCACCCGGGTGGCTCAGTGGGGTAAAGCCTCTGCCTTAGGCTCAGGTCATAATCCCAGGATCCTGGGATAGAGGCCAGCATCGGGCTCTCTGCTTAGCAGGGAGCCTGCTTCCCCACCCACACCCACCCCCACCCCCTCCTGCCTCTCTGCCTACTTGTGATCTTTGTCTGTCAAATAAATAAATAAAATCTTAAAAAAAAAAAAAAAAGAATCACTGCAAAAACAAACAAACAAAAAAACCCCCTCAAAAACAGTACGTACAAAGCACAATAAAGCAAAGTACAACAAATTAAGGTAGCCTGTACAGTACTTTGTCATGGCAGACTGAACAAACTAATACAATTCTACTTAATCCTCCTACCAATCCTGCAAAATGAGTTCATGAGCTTCATTTTATAAATAAGGGAAGTGAAGTGACTTTCCTGATCCTCCAGTCCATAAGTGACAGGGTAGGGATGGAAGCCCAGGTTTGCCCGACATACAGGCCCTATTGCAACCAGTGTCTTGTTCTAGAGGCTACAGGCCATTTGTAGATTTGATGGAAATGTGGTATGCTCCTGCTGACCTCCCCTCTCTCCCTGATCTTTGTGGGTTCTCTTGATCTCTCCCTCTCTCTGGGTACCTTCAGCCCAACCCAGGCATTTGTCAGTGACTCCCAGGCACAATTAGCTCCTTGGTTTCACTAAAGTCACTTAAGAAATTTTTGAGTGCCCTTGTGTAGATGCTCTTCCTGAAAACCCTCACATTTTAGGACCCATCTTACCCCAAGATTCCCACCTAGAACTGGAGGTGGGGGGGAGAGTCTCCACTACTTTTCCCATTTAGAAAGATAGGCAGAGGGCAGGACAATTACCCAAGAAGAACACAGCACCAGTCTGACCTCCTCAGTCCTTCTCATTCATCATCCTATTTAATCCTCACAACAAACCTATGAGTTAGGCATTATTATCATCTTCATTTTACAGATGAAAAAACAGAGGCATCAGGCAGGTAAGAAACTTGCCCAATGCCCTTAGGTAGACTGGGGAGTCTGTGAAGGCTTAGTTGGAAAAGTATATTGAAACTGAAGGAGGAGTAGAAAATGGAAGAATAGCACATGCAAAGATCCTATGGCAGGAGAGAGCCTTTGTGTCAGAAGGGCTAAGGGAAGAACACGTGTCTGAGCACAGAGTAAGAGAGAAGAACAAAACAAGGCAGGGCCAGGCGAGACAGAGTCTCAGAAGCCTTGCTAAAGGTTTGGATCTCTGTTATAAAAACAACAGAAGCCATCAGCAGGTTTTAACCAGGGGAATAACAGAACCAGGTTTGCAGGTTGAAAAGATTTTTCTGGCAACAGTGTAGATAGAAGATTACAGGGAGGATAAGATCCAAGGATACCATTAGGGTCCATGTCAGTAATTAGGCAAGAGAGGCTGGCAACATGGACAATAACGGTGGAGATAGGAGTGGAAATGGAAGCGAGTAAATGCTTTTAAGAGCCATTTTAGAAGGAAAATTGAAGCATTTGGTGATGGATTGGGCATGGGGTGAAAGAGGTTGAGGTCCCAGGTTTCTGACTGGTGCAACTAGCTGGCTGGTGAGTAGCTCCTTCAGACAAAACGAAGGTGTGTGTAAAATTATGGGTATGTTATATTTGAGGTAAGACACCCACATGGAACTATCAATAAATGGTTAGATGTGAAGATTTGAAGGTCAAAAGGGAAGTATGGACTGGAGATGGATATTTGGGAGTTGTATCTGGGGCCCTTCTATCTACTATGCACACTAGGCACATTAGTTCTCCAATACTTTTAGAGGTCCATAAAAAAATGCTTTAATCTCCTTTAAATCAGAAGAAAAAAACAAACTTTTAAGTCAAAGATGTTTTAATGTACAAAATTAATATATTCATCTTTATACCAATACCATCATAAAATGTAATTTAAAAAGAAATTGTTCTGTAGGAACCACAAAAGCCATAATGTTGCCTTGGTTGTATCAGTAAGAATGCTTTCTGCCACAAACATCAGAAAAGCCCATTCACAATGGCTCCTGCAATAATAATATTTAATTTCCCTTGTTTGAGAAAGTTCAGCATCAGGGTGGCCTCTGGGGTTGGCAGACTGGGCGCTGTCAAGGACAAAGACTCCTTCCAGCTCTGACTCTGCCATCCTCGCTGTTCGCTGCCTCTTCAGCTGTTAGTACAACAGCTGCCTTAGTTACAGTTCACATTCAGGCTTGACAACATTCCCAGGAAGAAGACTCACTATTGCTTCTGGGGTTCTCTCCTAGGAGTGAAGAAACCTTTCCCAGAAGGCCCCCAGAGGATGTCCCCTTGGCCTCACTGGACAGGACCAGAGCATATCCCCATCCGTAAACCAATTACTGGCAAGAAAGATGGAATATTAATATGATGGGCTCAGAGTAATCATCCAGGGTGGTACTGAAGTTAAGCAGTCATAATGCCTGCTTTAATAGTCTTCCTCCAGGAGGTGAGAGTTGAAGCCAAAAGCATGGATGAACTCACCTAGGGAGAGTGTGCAGAGGAAGAAGGACACAAGAGCTTCAGCATCACCAACATCTAGCAAGGGCTGACATTGCAGAGACTGAATCAGTTATGGGTCCTGCTACAGAGGAGCTTCCTGTCTGATGGAAGAGATCCACCATTAAACACAGTTATAAATGGATGGGAACTATATTTGGGGTCAACACGGGGCCTATGAGAGCAATCTAAGTCAGAGTCTCAATGTATATATTTTTTTTAAGATTTTCTTTTTAGTTTATTTATTTGTTAGAGAGAGAGAGAGAGTGCACAGGCAGGCAGAGTGGCAGCAGAGGCAAAGGGAGAAGCAGGCTCCCTGCCAAGCAAGGAGCCCGATGTGGGACTCGATCCCAGGATGCTGGGATCATGACCTGAGCCAAAGGCAGCCGCTTAACCAACTGAGCCACCCAGGTGTCCCAGAGTCTGAGTGTATATTAATAACTGTGGGACCGCAGGTTTCTTCAGCTTTCTGCCTCAGTTTCCTCTCTGTAAAGCATCCCATGCATAGTAAGTATCAAATAAATGCAGTTTTTATTGTTTCACTATCATTCACATGATACCATATTTAGATGGTGGGAAGCCATTGGAAGGAAATTAACAGGCAAGTCAGAGTTCTGTCTTGGTTAGATGGCTTGGACAGATTGGACAGGTTGTGCCCTGTCCCTGTTCTGGGTTTCCCCTTCACCAGGTCAGCATGAGCCACTCACTGAGTTTCCTTCCAGCTGCCCCAAGGCTGAGCCCTACCAAAGCCCTCCAGGCCCCAGCAGCATTCCACAAAATCCCTGTATTGGTTTTAACAGTGTTCCTGAGCCTTGGAATCAGGATGAATTACTGTCCCTCCTTTCACCCCTGTCCCCTTGCATTGTTGCCACTCAAAGAAATTAATCAGGCTTATTAAGCATGACCTCCCTTTTGTGAGCCCTGCTCTCAGTCTGCTGATCTGTACCTGTCTGCTGCTCTTCTAGCTTGATTCCAGAGGGGCCTCAGCCTGCCTTGGTCCTCTAGGGGGGGCAGGGACATGCGGCCAGTGGCCACATCTTTTGTTGCTTGCAGAGACTGACGCACTGGACTGGATCGGACAAAAGCAGGATCCTCTGCTGTAGCGAGCACAAGGCTCTTTGTTGCCATGGCTGTGGAAAAAATAGGAACAAAAAGGATAAATGTTGCGTCCAAATATGCTAATAATTAACACTTAGCACCATGGATATAAAAAGCACTTAATACTAAATTACTATGATCGTAATAGCTGTTCTTTATTCAGCCTTATTCTACATGGCATCATGGCTCGGTAGTTAAGTGTGCCTGAGCTGGAACCTGATTGTCTTGGTCCAAATCCTAGATCTGCTATTTACCAGCTCTGTGACTTTGGGCAGGTTACTCGATATCCTCTTGTCTCAGTTTTACAGCTATAAAGCATAGACAATGAAAGTCTGCAACTCATAGGGCTATATGAGTCCATGCTCTGCTGATAAAGCATTTAACCTGGCACACCACATAATAAGCACTAAATAAATATCATATTTTTATATAGCAGATTTAGGGCTTTATCTATATTGGTTAACAAATTTAAACCTCAAAACAAACTTGTGACACAGACATTATTATTATTCCCACTTATCAGTTGAGAAAATCAAGAGTCAGATGGGTACCTGGGTGGCTCAGTCTTCAGGTGTCTGCCCTCGGCTTGGGTCGTGATCCCAGGGTCCTGGGGTCGAGCCCCACGTCGGGCTCCCTGCTTGGTAGGAGGCATGCTTCTCCCTCTCCCACTACCTCTGCTTGTGTTCCCTCTCTCGCTGTATCTCTCTCTGTCAAATAAATAAATAAAATCTTAAAAAAAAAAAAAAAAGTGCTTTCGGCCTGAACCGCCATCTTCCAGTAATTTGCCAAAATGACCAACACAAAGGGAAAGAGGAGAGGTACCTGGTACATGTTCTCTAGGCCTTTTAGAAAACATGGAGTTGTTCCTTTGGCCACATACATGAGAATCTACAAGAAAGGTGATATTGTGGACATGAAGGGAATGGGCACTGTTCAAAAGGAAATGCCCCACAAATGTTACCATGGCAAAACTGGAAGAGTCTACAATGTTACTCAGCATGCTGTTGGTATTGTTGTAAACAAACAAGTTAAGGGCAAGATTCTTGCCAAGAGAATTAATGTATGCATTGAGTATATTAAACATTCAAAGAGCCGAGATAGCTTCCTGAAGCGTGTAAAGGAAAATGATCAGAAAAAGAAGGAAGCCAAAGAGAAAGGTAGTTGGGTTCAGCTGAAGTGTCAGCCTGCTCCACCCAGAGAAGCACATTTCCTGAGAACCGATGGAAAGGAGCCCGAACTGCTGGAACCCATTCCCTATGAATTCATGGCATGATAAATATAAAGAAAATAAAAGACCTCAAGACTGTAAAATTGTTTCTCTTAATTGAGTAGAAGTGTAGTGTCCTTTCCCTGAAAAAATATTTAAAGCAAACTTTGTGACCTTAAAAAAAAAAGAGAGAGCAGTTGAGTAACTTTCCCAAGGTTACCCAATAAGAAAGTAGCAGAAACCAATTCTGTTTGACTCTAAAGTCATGTGCTTTCCACTGCACCAAGCTGCTGTCTTTCATGAGCTTGTGGCAAGAGGTCCCACATCAGTGTAATGCTAGATTGTTGGTGACTCTTTCACAAAATCCTCTTCCCTTTAGTGAAGTTGGAATATATGAAAATAAAGGACAGAAGGGTCCGGTGTAGAAGGCAGCTTTACTGAGGGTTTCCCTCCTCCCCAGCCCTTCTTTATCCCCTGTGTGTGAGGCCCAGTTCTCTGGTAGAAGTTGGAAGTCTAGCTTGGAAGAGCAGAGAGCTCGGGGGAGGACTTTCTTAAGTTCCAGCTCTCTGATGAGTTGACAGGCAGAGGGGAGCCAGGGCAGAACCTGGCCACAGGGCACCAACCCACACCAGGCCCAGGTCTGCAGACAGCTTTTGCACACTAAAAGTCTTTGAACAGGGGCACCTGGGTGGCTCAGTGGGTTAAAGCCTCTGCCTTCAGCTCAGGTCATGGTCCCAGGGTCCTGGGATCAAGCCCCGCAGCATCGGGCTCTCTGCTCTGCAGTCCTCCTCTCTCTCTGCCTGCCTTTCTGCCTACTTGTGATCTTTGTCTGTCAAATAAATCAATAAAATCTTTAAAAAAAAAAAAGTCTTTGAACATCACCAAGAAAATAAAATGAAATGGCATTAACCCAAATCACTTTCTTGCCAGAGAACTTTGCATTCTTAAAGGAATCCAAAGTCTTAGTATACCTCCTACAGAGTAGACATCTGGCAGCCAGACCAGTGAGTGCCCATCAAGGCTCTGATCATTGCCCAGCCCAGTCAGGCCTCTGCCCATACCTCTACACAACCGAAGTCAGCCCTCTGCTCATAATTCTACACAACCAACTCTCCTTGAGTATTCAGAAGCAGCTCAATTGCTAAAGAACCACCTAGGCAAACATAAAACTTAGCCTTACAATACCTCTGGGAAAGAGAAGTGTCTGGCTATATTATTAATTGCAATCATTTACTAAGCCACATTGCTTTAGGCACACGATCATTTAGTAAGCCATGTGCTCTAGGCAAGCCACATTGCTTAGCATGACCCTTGTCACAAATTCCACCTAACCCCCTAACCCTCACTTGTCCCTCTAGTTCATGGCTAGCTCCAGATGGCTCCTCCCCTGTGCCTCTCCCATGGCCAGATGTCCATTTGCAATCAAATAAGAACTGGCTAGATTCATCCTGGACTCTAGGAAGCACGACCCTGGCTCCTCAGTGAGGATACAACTTGGTGTCAGGACAATAGCCTATGATGGGGCCTCCCTGGAAATCCCCGGCCTACATTCATAGCTCAATCAAGATGGCAGAACCACTTATCAGTGCACAGGTGAGCTGTCTATGCTTTGTGGACTTCCCACATGCCCTGATCACAGGCCTCTCTCGCAATCCCTTGTATCTATACCTGCCTCTTGCTTCCTACATACACACTCAGGACTCCTAAATGAAGATGAAGCAGGAGGGAAATGGCCAGGTTGTAGATTCATTGAAAATAGCAGGAGCTCTGTAGTTGGATAGACATAGGTTTGAATTTCACCATTTTACTTAGCAGCTGTGTGACTTAGGCTGTTCACTTAACTTCTCTGAGTCTTACTTTCTCATTTCCAAAAAGGGGAATTATCGTCTGTACTCTTGGGGTTTCTGTGAGGATTAGAAAAAATATATGTGTGTGTTATGCCCAGTGGCACTCAACCAATGTCAGACATAGGTGGGTCTCTTCATACTCATTAAAATATATATACTTTCTGATCCCAGGACCAGAAGTTCATGCCCCACGAATGGGTCCCTGCTCAGCAGGGATTCTGCTTCTCCCTCTCCCCCTACCCTGCTCCAGCTCTCTCCCTCTCTCTGTCATGCTCGAGCTCTTTCCCTCTAATAAATAAGTAAAAATTTAAAAAATAAATAAAATAAAAGCGTATATACTTTCTGTCCCTAAATTCTTACAATGACCAAGCTGCATGGTCAGCCCACCAGTGGTGTTACTGTGATGAGCTTGGTTGGGTTATAGCTAAGTTTTCCTGTTAGGCCTAGACCTTAGTCTCATGCAGACATGGAAGTTTTGGCCCCTGGGTCCATGGTTTGCCTGGAATTGTCCCAGTTTAAGGACTGAAATTTCCACATCCTTGAAGCACTGGATATTTAATCTTGGGAAAACTGGAATGGCTGGTCACCCTATGAAGGCAGCTGACCCAGAGCAGGTGGAGCAGCTGTCAGACCTAAGAGAAGAAGCTGGGCTTCCCTTAACCACTCCCAGCTGGATGGATGGGCCAGCCGGGTGGACACTTACTCAGCCCCTCCTTCCTGGTACCCAGCAAAGTCCCTGTTAAGCAGAGGTTGTGGGTGACACCTAGAGGCTATATTAAAAACTGCAGTCTGGTAATCACCCACCTGCCCCTTGAGGCCTTAGTTTGTTCGTTAATAAATATTGAGGCACTGGACATAAGTCTTAGGGGTCTTGGAAGACATCCTCAAGCAAGTTAAGCTGAGACCTACTGCTTGATAAAGTGTTAGCTGGGTCAAGGCAAGTGGGAAAGAAAGTATCTTGGGCAGGAGGGAACAAAAAAGACTGAAGTTCTGAGTGGGAAGAAGTATGAAACTTTCAAGAAACCACAGTATGGGTGGGGGTTGGATGGTGACACCAAAAGTTGGAAAGATTGTCAGCGGCTAATCAGCTAGGAGAAATTTTTTTGGTCTTTTCCCTAAGTACAAGCAGAATTTAGTGAACATTTTAAGCAGGATAATAACATAATCAGATCTACATTTTTCAAAGCTAACTCTGGCTACAAGGTGGGACTGGTTAGGACAGTAGTAAACCTAAAGCCAGACAGGTAATTAGTAGTGTCTGGGTGATGCAGAGACAGTGAGGCCCTGCATGTGGGTAGTACAGAGGGATGAAGAGGGAGGTGATGGCTTGAGAGACATTATGGAAATAGAATGGGCAGGAACACTGGGATTGATGAGGTGAGGGGTGAGAAACAGCAAGATTCAAAAATGCTGTAGGTTTCCAAATAGGACCACTGGAGGGCAGTGGGACAAGTGCTGAGATGGGAGCATGAGAAGAAGAGGGAAAATGTTGGGGCATGTTGAATATGAGGTGACAGAGGGACATCCAAATCAAGATGGCAAATAAGCAGTTGAATAAAGATTAGGAAGGGGGACATAGATGTGGAGATTATCCAGCAAGGAGATGGTAACTGAAGCCCTGAGCAGCACCAACATTTACAAATAGGCAGAGGCAGAGGAGAGAGAATTCACCAAAGGAAAACCAAGTGAGTATGATGTTATAAAAGGGGGCAAGAGTATTCAGAAAGTAGACAGTGGTCAGCTGCAAAAAATATTCTGAGAGGCAGTGAGTTGAGATCTGAACGCTGTCCACTGAACAACGTGAAAATTATTGCTGACCTTAAGTCCTTTTAGGGAGGAATAATGGACAGAAAGACAAATACTGCATGATTTCACTTATATGAAGCTCCTAGAGTAGTCAAAAGTAGACTAGGGCTTCCAGGGGTTGGCAGGAGGAGAGAGTAGTGAGGTCTTTAATGAGGACAGAGTTTCAGCTGCGGAAAAGGCAAGAATTCCCTAGATAATGATGGAGATGGAGGTACTTAATACCACTGAACTTGCACTTACAAAAGGCTAGCAAGATAAATCTTACTATGTTATGTGTATTTTGCCACACATGCATACACACACAAAAGTCACCTTCTCTGTGAGGTCTTCCAGGCCACTCTTTGTTACATGTCAAGCACTCCACAGACTCGGAGAGAAACGGAATCAGGTGGAGGAGGGGGAGGGGCAGGGGCAGGGGCAGGGGCAGGTCACCGGCGGGAAAGGAAAGAACTACCCCAGCCGCCTCCGCGAGAAGGGGGGAAGCGAAGGGGCTGGGAGGAGCGGGTTAAGCTGAGGGCAAGGGTGACACCTAGAGGTTATGTTAAAGAACAGCAGCTGACAATCGCCCACCTGGCCCAGGAGGGAAGGAGAGTGACGGGATGGGGCGCGAGTTCCGGAAAAGGAATGTCAGTTCAGGCTGGTAGAGGGGAGACGGGACAGGGGTGAGGTCAGGCTTTGAGGGGAGGAGCGTGCACCTCCGCCAGCCCCCGGGCTCGAGCTGAGAGCTGCGGAAGGGACTTGGTTCTACAGGTTCAGGACGTGTATAGCACCTCCACAGCCGGCTCCCCACCCCTGCACCTCCGCTGTCCTGGCCGCTGCGGAAGGCGGATGTGGCACGAGGCCTCCTGCAGCGCCATTGCCTCACCCCTCGGACCTACGTGCCCTCCAGCGCCCACCCTTAGCATCCATAGCCCGAGCAGGAAGGCAGTCGCGGACAGGCACGGAGGAAGCCATCATGCGGAAGTTGCCCCAGGGTCCTGACCGGGAGGAGATGGCGGTCTTACATTGGTCACAGCCCAGATGCCAGCAGGGCTGCAGGAATGGGAGTCTGGCTTGTGGGGGGAGGGTGAGGGAACCAACATCAATGACCACCTCTACCCTTTCCGCCCCCCGCCCCCCAAAATGGCCTCTGGGTCAAGGTCAAGCACAGTGCTGTTGCAGGGCAATATGCCCTAACTAAAATCTCCCTTTCTTTAAGTCAGACCCTTCGTGGCCTTTAGAAATCTACCCTCTCCCTCAGGACCAGGTGAGAAGTGATGGGTTAGGGGACCCGTTTCTGTGCCCTCTGTCGGTACATAGGGCCCTTGAGTGGAAACCCCTCTGGCTGCACCAAAGGCTTGGAGGCACTAGAGCTGCTCACCTGGGGCCCTGATCATGATAGCATGGACAGAAGATAACCTATTCTGCCCCAGCCCTCACAGAGCGCTATCCCCAGGGGCCCTAACCCCAGATTCCACACCAAAGCCAGGGCCTTCCTAGAGCCTTCCCAGTGCTCAAACCTAGGGGGGGGGGGGGGTCCAAATGTGGTTGTTACTCTGAGTCCTACTGCGGCCCCTCTCCTTGTGACATACAAACCCACTTTGTATGCCCTGATCCCACGTAGCTGGGCTCCGGCGCATAGGCTAAATCCTGGACCCCTTGCCAGGCTGCAGAATATACTCTTATTTAATCACAACAACCCTATGAAGTAGGTACTATTATTATTCCCATTTTTACAGGGGAGAAAATCAAGGCTCAGAGAAGATAAGCAACTTGCCCCAAGTCATACAGCTACTAAATATTGGAGGTAGTTTTCAAACCTGGGTCTATCCAGCTTTTGGAACCCATGTTCTCCAATTTACTAGTCTGCAGAGTAGCACCAAGTGCCTTTTACCACCGCTAATCAGCTTCTGCGTACTGCCTTCCTGACTGCAAGACTAAACACGCAGCCAGACCTCTTTTTCTCAGCGCTGTGCCTCCATCACATCCTTCTTCCTCTTGCCAATGAACTTGCCAATGACGTCATACTGAATGATGTTATATCTGCTCCCTGACAAAGGAATCTCCTTTGCAATGCCTGGAACCACAGCATCTATCCCAAATGTCTCCCCAATCTTATGCTCTTTCTCCTCTGAGGGTTTGGCTCGCATTCCTGACCTTTTTGCTTATGCCATTTACCCCTGAAGTGCCCTTCCCAAACCCTCCAAGAGCCACCTGCTGAAGTCTCAGAAGACTCCTACTATCTACTCAATTCTACTCAATCCAGTGATCTCACACAATTCTGGGTCTCAAGCCCAGAAAAGCCTATAGAAAGCTTCTCTGGCCCAATACCCAGTCAGGAAGCTACAAGGAGGACTTGAGTTCTAGTCCTATAGGGCCAGGAGGGAGAGAAAGGACACTAATGCAGCTGTTTCTTTCAGGTCCTGAGGCACCAGTTTTTTTTCTCCAAATCTTGCTTGGGTCAGGAGGCAAAAGATTGTTGAGAGAGAAGTGGGTTGAAGAAAGAGGCGCAGTTGAGAGACTAACAGAGAGAAAGAGAGATTTGTAGGAGCCATACAAATGACCTACCTTCCTATAACATCAGTTTCTCTGGACCAATTTGGGGAGGGAAAGAAAATCTGTAAAAAAACATTTTGATATTTTTAAAGTTTTAAAGGAACAGTACGCGTCCAAGGCAAAATTCTCTACCATTTTTAAGGTAAAACAGGACACTGGTAAATTCCTTGCTTGGGGCAGGGGCGGGGGTAGGCGGTTAGGAATTCTGGCTCCTCCCCCGGCTAGGATTGGTTCCCTTTGCTCTTAAGTTTAGGGGAGGAGAGAAAGCCCGGCTCCCGGCACCAAGTGAAGGCGGCTATTGTGGTCTCCGGGGACGGTGGGAGAAGGGAGGCTCGGTGCCCGAGGGCATGGCCCATCAAGAGGCTCTGGGAAAGGGCAGTCCTGCGTCCCCGCTGTACCCTTGGCGACACGGTCTGCATGGGAGGGGAAGAGTGTGAGCCGCGGTCCCTGGCGCCGCCCCTTCTCTCCGGCTGCACCCCAGCTCTGGCTCCACGTGGTTTTCACCACTGGCCCCGCAGACCGGATGGTCCCAACGCTGCTCGGGATTGGAGAGGTCGTGGCGGAGAACTGCGAGCCCCAAAGGAGTGAGTCTGTGACTTCCTCGGAAAAGAGGGAGGAACACGCTCTGCGGGAAAACTGGACTCCACAGGCTTCCGACGACGAACCTTGGACGGAGGGTCCGGGAGTCCTGAAAAGCCAGGTGAGCGGCCCTAGGGGAAGGACAAGCCAGGGTCATCATCCGGACCGCCATGGCCGTGCACGCCCGTCGTCTGTGCCACATTGCCTTCCACGTGCCCGCGGGGCAGCCCCTGACCCAGGATCTGCAGCGTCTCTTTGGTTTCCAGCCCCTGGCGGTGCGGGAGGCAGAAGGCTGGCGGCAGTTGGCCCTGCGCAGCGGCGACGCGGTCTTTTTGGTGAACGAGGGCGCAGGGCTGGGGGAGCCGCTGTACGGCCTGGACCCACGTCATGCTGTGCCCAGCGCCACCAACCTGTGTTTCGACGTGGCGGACGCGGGCGCCGCCGCCCGGGCGTTGGTCGCGCAGGGCTGCAGCGTGCCGGTGCCCCCGGTTAGCGTGAGGGATACGCAGGGCACAGCGACCTACGCTGTGGTCCGCTCGCCCGCGGGCAACCTCAGCCTGACACTCCTGGAGCGTGCGGGCGTCCGAGGGCCTTTCCTCCCAGGATTCCAGCCCGTATCCTCTGCAGCCAGCCCAGGCTGGGTCAGCCACGTGGACCACCTGACCCTAGCCTGCATCCGTGGCAGCTCCCCCACACTGATGCGCTGGTTCCACGACTGCCTAGATTTTCGCCACCTTCCACTGAGTCCAGGTGAGGACCCAGAGACAGGCCTCGAGGTGACAGCAGGATCTGGGCGAGGGGGACTGAAGCTCACCGCCCTGCAGACCCCACCAGGCAGTGCTGTCCCCACTCTCGTGCTGGCTGAGACCCTACCGGGGGCTTCTAGTGGACAGGACCAGGTGGAGCAGTTCCTGACCCGGCACAGGGGACCAGGACTGCAGCACGTTGGGCTCTACACGCCGAACATTGTAGAAGCCACTGAGCAGGTAGCAGCAGCTGGGGGCCAGCTGCTGGCTCCTCCTGAGGCATACTACGAGCAGCCAGGCAAGGAAAGACAGATCCTAGCTGCTGGGCATGAGCCTAGCCTGCTGGCCCGACAGGGGATCCTGCTGGATGGCGATGAAGGCAAGTTTCTGCTTCAGGTCTTCACCAAGTCTCTCTTTCCAGAGGACACCTTCTTCCTGGAGCTGATTCAGAGGCAGGGGGCCACAGGCTTTGGCCAGGGCAACATCCGGGCCCTATGGCAGTCAGTGCAGGAGCAAGCCACCAGGGACTGGGAAGCCTGAGGAAGGTTGCGGCTGGTTTCAGCCTCCTGTACTGGAGCACAGGGCCAGCTGAACTGAGAAACACCTGCAGAGGCTTGGGGTGGAGGGCTTTGTCTCCAGTGGCCAGTTATGGCCACCATGTCTTCAGTACCTACCAGAACTTGAAGCTCTCACTGGGGTCCAAAGAGGTGGGATTTTTTTTTTACTATGAAATGTTCTTACGTAGTCTATAACTAACATAAAGAATGATAAAGGAATTATAGTAGGAAATAGAACTTACCAATACTTTTGAACCATCTTTGTGACCTTCTCTGATCCCATTTCTCTCCACCATATCCCCCAATTTTATGATTATTAACCCTTGATTCACTGTATTGTTTCACTACATATGAAACAATACAGAAATAAATTTAGTGTTTAAGGTAGGAATTTAAGACAGAACAAATCCTCCCATTTCCCTTCTCCCTAGGGAGCAGCCTCTGTGGGTGGGGAGGGCTTGGGTCAGGGCTGAGCCCAACCACCTGCTCTAGAACAATACCACTGCTCCAGTCAGAGCTGACCAGAGATCTGGATTAAGGGTGTTGGGCCTCAGGCAGGGGGCCCACTGCAGCTGCTTTCTTCCTCTCTCCTGGGGGCTGGGGGAGGACAATAACTCTGCACAGAACACTCACCTCCGTTTGCCCCAGGCTGGCTGGGAGTGCAGGCAGCGGAAGGCAGCACCAAGCAGGACTTCACACTTTCCAGGCCCCTCTGAGGGGAAGAATGAGTGGGCTAGGGAGGAGGTGGAAAGACTCCAAAAGGACTATAAAAATAAGCACTTTATTTAAAAAAAAAAAAAAAAAAAAACGGATTCTCAGGAAGTGGGGGCTTGCAGAGGCGTCACTGGGCGGTACTGTTGAGGTGGGGTGCATCCGTGGGGAGGTGAGGCTGGAAGAAACTATCCAGGACCTGCTGGCCCGGGCCGGGCCTTTTCCGGCTGGATGGAGTAGACACTGGGGACCGTTTGGAACCCTGTGCAGAAGCCAAAGGAAGGAGCCACTCAGGGGGCAGCAGAGTGTCCTCTCCTGCCCCCCTCACCACGGCCCTGATACAGCTCAGGTTCCTGTCTGAACGCGGTAAAGCTTCCAGCCGGTCTCCATTATCTACACCTTCGGTCAGCTCTGAATGGCAGCCCAATGTAGTCTCCCTAAGATACAAATCGGACCCCTCTCTCCACCAAAAATGCTTTCGTGGCCTGGTGCCCCTGGCCCTGACTGGCCTGCGCAGGCCCTGCCTATCAAATGTGTCCTTGCACGCGGCACGCCGAGTTACACCAGCTTTGCTCACACTACCCTGGGGCCTGGTAGGAACATTCTTGCTGCAGACTCCCCTCCCAGACCTGGAGATGATGATTCGTTTCTTCAAACCAGATTACCAGCTCCTGCTTCTAAGCAGCCTTTCCTGATCTTTGCCTCCCAGACAGAACGGAAAGCTCTCATAAACCACAAAACCTAGTACAAGCATTTTTTACACACCTGTGACCCTATTGTCTCCATCATTTGTTCTTATTCTCCACCCCGGATTCCAAGCTCTAAGGTCTCCAGGGAAGAACTATTACTCTGCTGCCCACAGCCAAGTCTGGAGGGGATAATGTTCACCCAAGCACGTGTCATTTAACTCACTGAAAACCCGTGGGTTCAGGGCTGGGGAAAGATGGCTGGGTGAGGGCCAAGAGACTCACCTTGCGGGTCCCTGGCTGTTGGCCCTCATACACACGGAACACCTAGCCAAGGAGAGGGGGAGAGTGCAGGGCTGGCATCTTAACCCCAAAGAGCCAAACCCCTGTGGTCTCAACTTCATGCCCCCCACAACACATCTGTTTAAAATATGCTTTTGTGTTTCCCTGTTTACATGGTAATAGGTTCACAAAGAACATACAGGAAACACAAAAAAGTACAAGGAAGACAACACAGGTAGTGCCTTTTTCATAGCGGTGGAGACAGCAGCAGTGTGAAACTCCTCGCGGGTCAGCCAGCGAGCGCCAGATGGCGTGATGGTCACCGGGGTCTGCCCGTCCAGGGCCAGACTGTATACTTGATATGTCAGCTTGATGTGAGAGAAGGTGTGGACCACCTGGAGGGAGAACCAAGGGGCTGAAACAGGCCCATGAATGTGCCCACAGAAGCCAAGACCCCGCCCCTCGCTTGGGTCCCTCACCTGCCCCTGGTGCCGGAGGTGGGTGGCTGGGAGGGGCCCAGCCCAGTGCTGAAGCTCCCGTAGCAGGGCTTCGCGCTCACATGGCCCGGAGGGCTCTGTAGTCACACACGGGAACTCCCACAGCCCTGCCAGCAAACCTGAGAGAAAGGGCAGCCAGGTGTGGCCAGGCGTTAGCTGTCGACTCCTCCATGTCCCCCTTGGTGCTCCTGCCACCACCCTGGGCTCCGAGGATGTAGCTACCTGAGCTGGGCCTCTGCACCAGCAGAATTCGAGGACCTCCACGGGCCCTGGGCTGCTCCAGAACACAGACGGCAGAGCACTCCTCCCTGGGGGGCCTGCGGCTGGCTTTTCTGGGGAAGTTGGTCACTCCCAGGGTCTGGTCCCAGGGCTCCGTGGGAGGCGCACACAGCTGGCACTGCCCCGTGCTGGGAGCTGGGAAGAGAGAGCCCCAAGTGCTGCTCAGGCCCCGAGAGTAGGCCAGGGCCCAGCTCCACAGAGTCTTATTCGGGGTGTAGGACAAACTGGAATGAGGCTTCCACAAGCAGGTCCCCAACACTGCAGTAAAGGGCTGGGGCTGGCACTCACCGCACTCCTCCACGTCGGGGCTGCCTGGCAGGTTCTGCAAGGCCAAGCGCTGTTCCCGCTCCACCTAAGGGGCATGAGGCAGATGTCATGCAGCAGGGGCTGCCATCTAGGGCCCCTGCCTGCCCTTTCCCCAAATGGCTCACCCTCCAGTGTGCACGGCACAGGCTCTGCACTGGGCACTGGCTGCAGCGTGGGTGCTGTGGGGTGCACACTGTGGCCCCCAGCTCCATGGCCGCTTGGTTTGAGTCCCCTGGCCGGGCAGGGTCTACCAGCTGCTGGGCTAAGCTCCTACAAGGGAACGTGGCTGTGAGCCAGAGACACTTTGGAGACATCCTTCGCGGTCTCCCCATGACCCCGAGATCCTACCAGAGATGCTGGGAGACGAGGGTGCTGCTGGGATCCGCACCAATGGCTCGGACTCGGCACAGGACCCGTACGACATTCCCGTCTACCACACCAGCTGCCTGGCACAGAGGAATCCAGGGGTTAGCCTGTTCTGGGAGGAAGAAGGGTGGCACGCACCAAGCCAGGGTGGGCTGGGGACTCACCTGTCCAAAGGCAATGGAGGCAATGGCTCCAGCTGTGTACCGCCCCACGCCAGGCAGGAGCTGCTGCAGGGTCTCTGCTGTACGTGGCACGTGGCCCCCTAGCTCCTCTACCACCTGATTGCAGGGTCCGGGGAGGCTCTAGGTTATGAAACACCTGAGGCCCTGGGCCTCACCCCCTTACCTTACCTTACCCCCTGTCACTCCCTCACCTTCCGGGCTCCCTCCTGCAGCCGCCGGGCTCGAGAGTAGTAGCCCAGGCCCGCCCAGAGCTGGTTGACCTCCTGTGGGTGAGAGCAGAGAGATCAGTGGTCAGTCCTCACTTGTCCCCATTCCCCCCACCACAGGGTGACTCTTACCTCCAGAGAAGCACTGGCCAGCTCCTGCAGCGTTGGCCACTTCTATAGCTCGAAAGCAAACAAAAAGGAGCAAGCCCAAAGTCAAGGGAAGTGGAGGAAACCTTCTTCACCCCTACCCCAAAGGCTGGGCTCTCTCTGGGGTCTGGCTCATGACCCTCCCCTTCCTTCCCTGGAGTCACCTGCATCCATCGGGTATAATAGTCGATCACCGTGGCAACCTGGGTCTGCTGCAGCATGACCTCTGAGACCCACACTGGGGGAGAGGGGTTGGCATGAGGGCGTGGACGACCTGCCCTGCTCCCAGCACACAGCCCCTAGACCCCAGACCAGTAGGCATCCAGGCAAAGCAGCTCAGGTCCCAAGACATGCACTCACCAGCATATGCCCGCCTGTCCAGGTCCACCTCCCCCTCCGCCTGCCAAAGCAGTCCCAGGAAAGGAGTCAGTATGGAGACCACTGGACACCCACCTCCCACCCTGCTGTCCCTGTCCCTCGCCTGCTTACCCGCCTTCTCCAGGGTAGGTCCCGCTTCTCTCGGTCGTACCAGCTCAGGAGCTTCTCCCGAAAGACTGTGACCTCAGCTGTGTCTCTGAAGAGATGGTACGGGGAGAAGGCCTGCAACACCACCTCCTCCTGCCGCCTGGTCAAGTCTGCTGGGACCACAGGAAACTCAGGTATCGTCCCTGCCTAGGCCGTGCACCAGGTACCCAGGGCACTGCAGCCTGGCTGCTCCCACTTGGGTGTCCCCTCCCCCCAACCCCGTGCTTAAGCTTTGGATCTGAAATCAGACCAGAATTCTCTAGCTGTATGTAACCTGAGCCAGATTTCCAGCCTTAACTTGCCCAGGGTGGCACCGCCGCCTGCTTTGACTCTGGGTCACAATGAACACCCAACAGTTTCAGCCAAGCATAACGTATACGTGTGCAGCGCTTTCCCATTTACAAAACATTTTCAGGCTCATAAACTCAATCGATCCCATGAAAGCCACAAGAGGAAGGAAATGCGCAGAAAACCGCTCCCTTTCACTGGTAAGAAAGCAGCCGTTCAGGGCTATCATCCCAAAGTGACACAGCAAAGTCAGAAGAGACCTTAATTAGTCCCTTAAGGTCCTGACACATAACTGTGCTCCCTTCCCAGCCCGAATCTCCCTCCCTTTCATGGCCAATGAATCCAGCATCTTCGTCTTTGACTAGGACTGAGCTCCTCACCATTTGGGGTAGAAGGCTTGACCCGGCTGCTGCTAAGGACACATTTCTTCTTTCCCTCCTGGCGGGATGCCTGCTTCCTGTGATGACCCCTCACAGCTGTTCGTGGCTTCTTCATGATGGCCTAGAAGAGAAAGGCCCAAAGTGGTCAGTCACAATGAGGCTGAATCTTGGGGCCCCACAATGGGTATAACAGCCACCTCCCTCTCTGCAACCCTCATGATAGAGTGTCTAGCTTTCCTCACTCTCCAGATGCTCATGGGTTCGCTCTTGGCAGGCTGTGGCACTGAGGGATG